GTCAAACAATCATTCTTCATTCAAATAACTGGTAAAAGTATAAATGAGGGAATTAAACATCCTCCCACATTAAAACATAATTACAATGCAGTAAAACATAAAACAGATAAATAATCGTAGAAGATAGACAGCGGATCCAAGGTATGCCTCAGATGCGTCAAGAAAGTCTTCACGGCAGAGCCAGAGAGTTTCAGGATAGTCACTTTCCAATGTGACTTTGAAGAACCCGGCATCAAGCTCGGGAGTACGACCAGTCTCCAAGAGAGAGAAAAAAATACGACCAGACTCAGATAGCTGGAAGAAGATGGAATTAAACTCTTCCACCGGGAATATATTATATAATTTGAGAATCCAGAAAACTTTGGATTTCTCAAATAAGAGAAACCAATAAGCTCAAAAGCCAGTAAAATCGATGAATAATATAAATATGATTCCGATACTAGCCCTACCAAAGTATCATACACATCTATAATTAAGGTTAATAGTGAGTATGAACAATTTACCATGTAAATCGCATAAACTGAACTGGACTCAAAATCATTGAGCAATGGACCTGGTGGGCTAGAGGGTTTAAATATCTTAATGGGTTGAGCCCAATTTTCTATCCAATAGGGCCGAGCCAAAGCATTGGATCTTTTCACGAGAGGGAGAACTGAGATCGGCGCTCTCCGTGACCGGTGACGGCCGCGGCCGTTGGCGAGAAATCCGGCCGGACTTCGCGGCGGATTCTGCTCAGACCTTCGTCAGAGATTCGATATCTTAGAGCCCCTTCCAGAGCGTTCGATTTTACAGCACCKGAAGGTGAGATCATGAGGGGGAGACGGCGGATCTGCGCCACAAGATCTCGTCGCCGGAAAAGCAGGAGTTAGATCCGTGGACAGTGATGGAGGCTCAGTAACGGTGAGGATGAAGCGAGAGAGGTGGTGATAGCCCAGGAGCGGAGGAGCGTGCTCCAGAGCTACGGTGATAGCTTTCCCGATGAGGGATGCGCCGGCGGAGACGGGTTGGGATATGGGCGGAGATTGGGTTTCGCCGTCGAAGGAGCAAAAGGTGAAGCCTACGACTTGGGAATTGGCGAGGTGAGCAAGGGGGAGACATCGACGATGCAGCCACATTAGCAAAGAAAAAGAATATGGGCCACACCACGGAGGGTCCGGGGGATCCAGAGGTTCAGGTGGTGGCGGAGGTTTGGCCATCGTCGAGACTTGCTTCACCCGAAAGTCGTAGGCTTCACTCCGATCTACATACGGGTTACCGCCCGAGGAGAAAGAGAGTGCTCGGACCGTAAGGTGAAACGTCATCTCAGCCGTGGCACGAGCACACTGCCGGAGAACCTTATGTGGTTGGGGAAGAAGCTTAGGCGCGACGGAGAGCTTCCATGGCGCGGCTGAAGGTGATTGCCTCGAGACCCGTGCCTTATCCCTTAC